ATTCTAGTATTAAATAACTAAAGAATGTAGGCCGAGCGATAGCACAGCTTGAATATGCTAGTGCAATTGGTAGCTTGATGTATGCCATGCATTGTACAAGACCTGACATAGCATTTGCAGTATGCAAAATGTCTAGGTTCACGAGTAACTCGGGTGTCACATATTAAAATGTAACTGGTAGAGTACTTGGTTATCTTAAAAGAACCATTAATTTGGGTTTGTCATATAATGACTATCCGGCGGTACTTAGGGTACTCGGATGCAAGTTAGATAACAAGTGCAAGTGATAATAAATTCACATCCGGTTGAATTTTCACAATTGTGGGAGGAGCCGTCTCTTGGACTTTTAAGAAATAAACGTGCATAACTCATTCTACAATGGAAAGTGAGTTTGTAGCACTTGCCGCTACGACAAAGAAGCGGAATGGTTGAGAAATCTATTGTTTGATATTGAGTTGTGGCCACAACCGATGACATCTATTTCTTTGTACTGCGATAGTGAAGCTACTTTGTCTAGAGCTTATAACAAGGTTTATAATGAAAAATCCAGACATATTAGCTTCAAACATGGATATGTGAAACAATTGATAACCGATGGTGTTATTAATATTCTTTATGTTAGGACAAACAAGAACCTAGCAGATCCTTTCACGAAAGGTCTTTCAAGAGATTTAGTTCAAAGAAACATCTTGTGTAATGAAAACTTTCTTTGAAAGAGTCATCGATGATGGTAACCTAATTATGTAATAGTTGTACCGCTATTCCATAGTTAAATGGGTAAAAAAAAGTCATTATTATGTGACTAGGTTAGCACCGAAATTTAATTTGTCCGTTCCAGGATGTCGGTGCAAAAATAGCTACGCGGTTGAGGTTAAGCTTATACTCTTAATGAAGTTTGAGTCTTATAGTATCATTAATTGACAATTAGGGTGACATGCACCGTTATGGGCAGAGTTTTGTCAATCTGGATGCTGAACAGGCATTTGTAAGTAAATTTTAAATTTATTTCTTTTTTAAAATTTAACATAACATATTATACTATTTTTATTCATTTTTATTTCATTTACCTTTGCAGGCTCAGATGGAGGGGGAAAACCCAAGCAGATGACATAGTCTACTGGCGAAGGTTCATCTGCCAGGGCGGTTGATGGGGAGGGGATTATGTCCCAAGTCTTGGGCAAGCGCAGAGGACACACTAAGGGGGTGGGATTGACACTACCACGGAGGAATCGTTTAAGCGCTTTCACCTCATCATTTGGTTCACAACCGGACGGGTAGTCTTCGATTAATTTGCCCCTTTATGTCCAAAACTGGTTGAAAAACATCTACGTCGAGCAATGCAATATGTTCGACAACCAACAGATCATGATGGAAGCCATGTGCTCGATGAATCCCAACATCAACTTCTTGCCACTTAACTGTCTCTAACCGTTGGTTCCTCAGCCACCTGAGCTAAACGAAGAAGACGACGACAAGGACAATGATGCTGCTAATTTAGGGGATTAAAATATAAATTTTTTTATTATTATCAATATTTTTTAGTATTTCTTGATTAATTTACCTTTTAAGACTGATCTTATTATTGTGTTGACTATTTTATATCAATCTTTTATTAATAAATATCAATTTTATTGTTTTATTTTATTATTAAATTTTTTTCTAATTTATATATTTAATAATTAATATTATTAGTAAAGTACCACAAAAGAAAGAAACAAAATATTTGCAGTGACATATCTAAATTGTCATTGCAAATAATCTACATTACTACCGACGACACTTTAAAGCTTATGGTCACAAAATGTTTTAAATACTTTTGCGATGACACATAGTCGTCACAGATAAGTTAGGACATATCATCATCAATGACATATTCAACAAGGCATTTCTGATGACTAATTCACGACGACTGTCATCGCAAATAAGCTTTTTTTGTTGTAATGAGACATAAATCGAAACTTCACCTAAGTGAACATAAGAAATAAGACTGTGGTTTAGTCTTGTAAATGTTCATGAATTCAAGATAGAGCACAATGCCGGAATAGTGCTAAACGATTGGAACACATTTTTAAGTCTATGATAATACATATGTGATATATTTTCAGTATTTGTTTAAGAGACAAAGTTTAATACAAAGTACATTGTTGTCTTGTGAATACTTTGAAGTATAGTCACTAATTGGATGTTAAAATCGAAAGATACCTTCATGTATGTGTGTGGTTATTGTTGTTAATTCTGGAGAAATATTACAATTTAGTGGGGGATTGTTAGAGAGATTGTAATATGTCTCTTCAAATCGTTGCAGCCATTGGTGGTATATTTTCACACATATCTGAACACCTATTAACAATAGATATAACTATTGTAATAGATGTATTAATCCATGAAAAGATAACTTTACATTGAGAAAGGTACCTCCATGTGAATGGTTATGATAATAGAAAAGGTTGCATTCATTCATGAAATGGTACTTGTCTTTGTGAATGGTAGTGATGATTGAAAATGTTGCTTTCATTCATAAAATTGTACCTTTGTCTTTATTAATTCTCCAAAAAATTTACAGACTTAATTCACATTCTGAAACTCAATTTTATTGCTAGATATTGTGTTCAAGGGTTTGTTGTATCTTAGGGGTAATTTGCTATTAAAACTCATTAGCAAACTTTGAGAAGTGAGAACAAATAAAACCTTAAAAGAAAGTATTCTTATACGCCTCAAACTCTCTCTTATTTTTTGCATTCTTTTCATCCTCTATACACAAATTCTCCAACATGATGATCCTGACCATACGACATCTTGTGGGTCATGTCACTCTTAACTTGGGGCTACCATCTTTTCTTTGAATGTTACACTAATCTTTTTGAAGTGACTAATTCAATATTCATCCACCAAAAAAAAAAATAGTAATTCAAGATTTAGCGACAAAGTCTGAAGGTAAAGGACTTATTTTATTCAACGGAAATGTTACAATTTACATTCTTTTCATTTAAAGAGTGGGAGAAAAAGTTGTAGCAATCGTCATTTTCTAGTGTTCTCAAATCTCGTGTGATTCTCGTCACAATGATCGGGAAGAAAAGGTTGTTAAACTGCTATCAATCACATTTTGAAGTCGGGCTTTTTATGTCCGGGGCCACTAACATTTAGTCCTTATTCGTTTATTATTATTGTAATAATTGTTATTGTTGTAGGAAAAAATCTCACACTCTACATCATGCACTAGATGAGCGCCACGAGGCACAGTGGGAGGATTAATAGCCATGCCAGCTCAGCATAAAGTATTCGTAAAATGGAACTTGGTAGATGCCAACCGCAAGATAAAGCAGGAGGTCGACCGTACAGAGGATTGGAGAAGGCCAAGAAGTCGACTGTACAGAGGCATCAAAATAGACGAGAAGTTGACCGCCCCAGATAGTGGGGGGAGATGGCTTGATAAGCACCTGAGGAGCCGATATGCAGGCAACCCGAGGAAAACTGAACCGGGAGGATATCTTACGTGACTTGTAAGCAAGTAAAGTTGGTAGGGGAGCAGGAGAAAGACTACTGTTGACTGGCAGACACTCCACCCGTCAACGACTACATCCAAAAATATGAGACAATGTGATAGAATGTAACGATGGAAATGAAAGAGGTTGAGGGGGGATAGAGCAAATATATATGTGAAGAAATGGTGAGCTAGGGGGCTCTCGATCTGTAAGAACAACTTGTACTCAGAGAAGATAGTGAAGATTTTTCCCTCCTCACAGTGGACGTAGTTCTTGAACAACAATAGTGAACCACTATAAATTTTAGTGTTCATTCTCTTTGATTACCTTTAAAAAACCTCCTCTAAGCAAGATTAAGCCACTAAAGTCACATTAATCACTTCCAAATCTAAATTAATCATGTTGACGAATTTTAACCATCAACAGTTATAAGTTATAATTACTGTTATCTCTCTCTTAATAATAATAATAATAATAAAAATACTCTTTAGTCTCGTACTTCATTTATTTTGTATTTCAAAAAAGTGATCGTGTGCCCACCACATGTGCATCGAGCCAGGAGTATTTGAAGGAACTCACGACTTATAATTCTAAGGTTTGACGATTGTTATATGTGGTTCGCTCCCTTTTCCTTTCTCCTCTTTTTTTTTTCCCCCTGGTTCATCAGTCTTCTTCCTTTCGCCATATTATTCTAATATGCTCAAAGCTCATGTGATTATTGTCACCATGGTAGTGGAGGGTAGTTTGTAAGAACTATTATCAATCACATTTTAAAGGTCAGCTTTTTGGTGCCATAGCTCCCACGAGTTTCTGCAATAGGGTCTTCTTCTCGCAGTTATATTTTTCCCATCAAGTGATCGCTTTTACGCGACATATGCACCTGCACCGAGCCAAGGTATTCAAAGGAATTTCCGATCATCACATGTGCTTAGCTCGCTTTTCCTTTTCCATTTCCTTTTCCTTTTCTTTTCATCCGATTTTTGCACTATATGAGATATAACGTCCTTCAAAGGAGTCCCAGTGATCGTTCTGGTAGTAAATCAAGCATACTTGTCTAGAGCTTCAAGACGATGAAAAAAGAAACGAGAGAATTACTGGTCTTTCATGGAAAAAAAAAAATTTCTTTGAAAGGCCAGCATTAACAATGTCTTCAAGAAGAGTTTTACGCTTTTAATTGGTATGCCACGGCATTCTTACCACTTAAATTGCAATGAGTTTTCGCTCAAAGACCAATGAGACAGGACATAAACCTTGTTAGAACGTTCATAACGAGTCATCTTCATAAGAACAAAATCGCCACATCAATTGGGACAGAAAAATTGATGCAAGAATTGACGCATTTATCATTACTTTTATCTTTTAATTCTTCATTCTCTCAAGGACTAGAGATTTTTCTTACCAGAACACCAACTTAATACTAATGTACAGATTATGTGCACACCACAAGCAATAAAAAAACGATGAATCAGAAGCATAACATTATCGATTAACATCTCATTGAAACAGCAGACAGGCTTCTGAGCTACAAAACAGACGAGTTTTATAAATTTAAAGAAAGAGTTTACTAAAAGATACATATGAAGCAGGACAATAGTGTGCCGCTTAACTCAAAAAAAAACAAAAACAAAAACAAAAAAATAGATCAAGGAATGTCTTTCAGTCTCGAGTATCATCAAATAACACAAAAAACTCAAAACTTCCTAAAAGAGAAGGACCTCACCCTCCAATTTCAATAATTTAATGGGACTTGACATACTCTTGAACAACATGAAGACCCTCGGTTTCTTCACCGAAATCCTGCAAACCAATCGAACAATAATAAGTGTACAAAAAGAGAACTTAAATATTCATGCACGCAAAAGTTTTGTTTTTTTATTTTTTATTTTTTGGTAACGCATGGATTGACTCTGGACTTCTTATCCCTCCTAGACATAGCCTCAGAAATATAAAATAAGACCGCGCTCTAGGATCTGTTCATACCTTCACAACAACGCAAGAGCAACCAACCACCTTTCTTGCTTTGCCTTCGGAATCAATCTTGCACAACTGTGACAAGAAAAGAAACAAAATTACTAAAGACATTTTCACATGCATTATCATACAGATTTGATGAACCAGGCCACAGAACATGGAAGGGAATAAATTCAAGGTCTAGAGACAATAGGAACACACCAATACATCAATCCATAAGGAAACAGAAACCATCAGATATGAAACTTTCAGAAATGTTGTTTTAGAAAGAGAGAGAGATCTAATTAATATTACTGTTGTGCTCAAAGATTGTCATTACCTAGTATAACACAAACAAATCATTGATATAACTGAGAGAGACAGATAAAGATGAAAACGAAAGGTTCTAAACAATAACTAGAAATAATCTACTTACCCCTGCCCATTCACCAAGGGTTTTAGCACTAGGAGCTGTAATTAATTTAACATTGTGATCAGCACAGAGTGCCTTGACCAACTTGACATAATCTGACTGGTCACAGTCCTCAGCCAACACACACAGCTGTGCAGCATGCTTCTCAATGACCTTCGCTCCTTCATGGAGTCCACGCGTGAGGCCTCCATGAGCCAATGACTTCCTCAGTACGAGTTGCAAGGCTGTCATAAGGTCCATGGGCTCACCTGGAGCCGCAACAGGGGTCTCAACTGGAACAGCTCCTTCCTCTCTGTATAACAACATGGCAAGAAAGTATGTAAATAAAACATATGCACCAAAAGCAACTTGCACAGAAGGGATGGTTGCTTTAATCATACAACCAGGAAGATGAGAGAAGTAATAACCAAGAAGAAAAACACTAGCCAAAAAAAATGCCAAATGAATAATGGCATCACTATTCAATGCTAACAATTTGAAACTTGTTTAAACGCCCAACGCAAAAAGGAACGACATCAAAAAGGAAGGCAACACATGGTTAGTGATGACCTCAACCAAGCCAAAAAATTATTTGAAGACAAAGCCAAACTGTTACAACTATGGCAAAGGAATAATGACTTGGCTTCAGCTCACAAAACACAGTAAGGGTAACTTAATATCTAACATACCATTTAGTCTACCGCCAATAAATAACTAACAAATGGTATGAATATCTAAATTTTCAAAACACCAGCTATATCCGCATTAATCATAGGACATGTAACTCCTTAATCTTGGGCTTCTTTATAATTTGTTCTAGTACTAGAATCTAGACATTGATGCAGCAATCAGCATATAAAGTTCCACCACAATGTTCCACAACACTACAGTCCGAATCTTGTCGAGGCAAATCCCCAGGACAATCTTACACTCAATTAGAAAGAACACTTGAGCCACACTAGACTGGCCAATATCACCATCCTTGACTTCTACCATTACTATTAAGATGTGAAACAGTCCACTTTATTATATATCTTTCAAATTGGAGGTAGCCAAACCCACACACTTCCACTAACAAAATTATACTAAATATTTAATATCAGAATCTATGACGAAAAAACTGCTATAATTCATGGAAACTAAACAATTTTGCAAAAGAAATTTACATACCCTGACATTTTGGTGAAGATGTTCGGATCAGAAGCTCTGTTAAAAAAAAATGTCAATAAAAATTCAAAAACTTGAAGGATCCAAAGCTGTGTAATCAATAACTCCTAAATTAAAAAAAATGAAAAGCTAAAACACTGATTAATCACATAAAAAGTTTCCCATTACTAGAGATAGAATTCTCAGTTAGCCAAAATCTGAAAAGCTTAGATTTATCATTTTATATAAAATGTTCGGCGAAATTTCTCTCTAGTTCCGAAGTACATGAAGAAATTAAACATATATAAATTGCAAAATGTAAATTTGCTGACCTTGAAGATAATTGCTTCGATGAAAATTAAGCTACAGAACCGGAAGCTATGGAGGAACTGAAAACGGAGGCGACCAAGGATTTCTTATAGGAATCTTATGATCTCTAAAACCCTAGTCTATTCTGCTATTTACTAAACTACCCTTCTCTGCGCTGGGCCTAGAGTCTATTGGGCTTCCGTCATGGGTTTATTACATGGGCTTAACTTAGCCCACATGTGGAGACGGGTTTTTTTGAACCGCTAAACGGTCCGGACCGGCTGGTTCTGAAAACCATGGTGGATAAATAAATATTGAACCGCCGACTTTTCAATCGTCCCCAATCTCAGTTGTTAACCCTGCTATTTTTTCCTACTTTTCCTAATTTCAGATTTTGAAGCCCTAATTTTCACGAAAACCTAGAAAACCAGAGAGAAGATGCATAGCGAGGCTCGGCGGATGCAGATCTTCGTTGAATCGCCGGACCTACAAACTCCGACCAAAACCCTAACCCTTACCCCGACCAAATCGCAAACCCTCCGAAGCCTCAAGCTCTTTCTCTTCCCTTCCGAAATCCTCTCTTCCTGCTACTTCACCTTGAACGGTAAGCGTCTCGATGACGACTCCTCAATTCTTAGTTCCCAAATTGCCCCTCTCTCGACCCTAATTCTACGCTCCAGAGCCCGCGGCGGCGGCGGCGATGGCGGCGCCACCGGAGCTGAGTCCCGCGACTGCTACCTCAACATGTACGCCGAGAAGAAGCCCGACAAGGTCGATCCGAACGAGCAGAGACTCTCCAAGTGGCTGAATTGCGCCTTGTCGAACGAACCGTTGAAGGAGCCCTGCGTCGTGGATTGGCTCGGTAACGTGTTCAACAAGGAAGCTCTCGTTCAGGCCTTGCTCGGGAAGAACATCCCCAAGGCGTTTGGCCACGTCAAGGGCTTGAAGGACATGATCAAGATTCAGCTCTCGGTGATTCCCGGCGTCGAAGAGGACGGAGATCGCGATTCGGGTGCTCGCGCGCGGTTTCAGTGTCCGATCACGGGGCTCGAATTCAACGGTAAGTATAAATTTTTTTCGCTGAGAAAATGTGGGCATGTTTTGAGTGCCAAGGCTTTGAAGGAGGTCAAAACGTCGTCGTGTCTCGTCTGCCATGTTGAGTTTTCGGAGAGTGATAAGATTGTGATAAATGGAAGCGATGAGGAAGTTATGGTTTTGAGAGAGAGGATGGAGATGGAGAAGGGAAAGTTGAAGGAGAAGAAGGGGAAGAAAGTGAAGAATGGAGGGGATGGTTTGGATTCGGATTCGGCTCGGTTGAGCGGTACAAAGCATGGAATTGGCGATGGTGTTAAAGCTGATTGGAAGGCTTTGTCTAAAGTGGAAGCCGATGGGAAGGTTGGGAAAGCTGCGAGTAATGTCCGGATTCCTTTTAAGAGTTCGAGTAATGGTAATGCAGCTAAGCGGTTCAAAGCCACGGATATTGCTCCAGCGAATGCAAACAAGGAAGTGTACGCTTCGATTTTCACTTCGTCAAAGAAATCCGATTTCAAGGAAACATTTACGTGCAGATCTCTCCCGCTTGGTAGGAATTGATTTTGGCCAGGTTTATGTGAGAGGAGTGAGTGTGTTCTTGGTCTGGTATCTGTTCTCTTGGCCAGGTTCTGTACTAATCTCAAATATCAGAGTTTATCCAAAATTGACATTGAACGTATTGATATTGTTGTGTCCTCACTTGTGTAATTGGTTTTTACCAAAACCTTTTCTCTTTAATGTACAATATCATTCTATATAATCAAGGATTTGAATGAGCATCATGCGTTTGTTTATCCTTGCTTTGGTTCTACTTTTGTTTCTTGAGTGTTAATATGTCATTCCCATGTATGAAGTGGATGCCAAATTTGAAGTGTTTTGGTGAGCTTTGTCCTGCAATTGCATTTGAAACGTGGAGCCTTGAGTTCTTGGCTTCCTTATAATCGTGTATCAATCAAAAACCTATTGGTGGCACAAAAGGCTAAATTGCATGTTCCATATTTAGCAATTGGCATTTATTCAAAGTTTGAGTATGACTTATGGAATTTAGAACTTTATGTTCTTTATCATGGACTCGCTTGCCCAAGTATATATTTTTGTTTCTTCTGTTTTATACTTTCACTTAGCTCCTTAAAACTCAAAATGGCACATAATTTTCCTTTAGCTAAGCACAAATTGTAATTTTGATATTTCATTATTGAGGCATCAATTTTTTAATGGTTTTAATTGCGCATGATCGTCAGTAACCCACACGTTATTAAAACGGTTAAAAACTAAGCTGCAACAAATACTAAATTGGAGAGCTGCAACAAATACTAAATTGGAGGAGTTTTGTTCCGTTTTGTTTTGAATTGTATGGGGTTAAATGAGAGAACCCCTATTTTTCAGGGGTTATATCTGGAATTAAAATGGCAACCAAAAAGGGCATTAGTTCATAACAGAGCATAGAATTTGTTATGGAAAACTGAGTAGTATTAACTCTAACACTATGCCCCGTTCACTTCACCAATTCGAGTTTAGAATTCGAGTTTTGCTACACAACACGTAGTATTTATTACAGATGCATAATATTCATAGAAGCTCTCCAAGGCCTGACAAAAAGGCCATTTCTTGTTATTATCTACCTTCTTCTAAGTACCCTATAAACCTCAAGAAAAGCTACGTGCCCAATACGTTCTCTCCTTTAGTTGTTACTGTGGATATTTAGGCAATAGCCCTCCTCTCAGAAGATCTGGATGAGCTCAACAAGGTCTCTTCCCGGTTGTACTTGACCCTCTGGGCCTGGTCCCTAGAGATTTGGTAGGCGTTCATGGGGACAGCTTCCGGTAGGGCACGAATGACGGAGGTGCATCCAGCGAGGGGGCTGATCCAAGGGTTGTCATTCGTCTTGAATGACACCTAGAGTTGTCAAAAGCCCGGCATAGCCCTTTTAACCCCAAGGCTGGGCCGGGCCTGAGGAGAAACCCTCAAGCCTAGCACTGGCCCTCAGTCTTAGTCCATAAGGGCCAGGGCCGGGCCCAGGCTCAGGCCCTTGACGGGCCGGCCCTGGTCCTTTTAAATGTTTTTGCAATATTTAATTAAAAAAAAAGAAAATATATTATATACCCTCAAAAGATGTGTTTTTATTGAATAAGTACTTATATGACTCTCGTTAAAAACCTTACCAAGTAAAACCTGTGGGGAGATCGGGACAAAACCTTAACGAAGGAAAAAATAGTGCGGTATTCTAGGATAAGTAAATTACAAAACCTAAGTGTTTCTAGAAGATTTTGTTATGTCTAAGTTAGAAAAATAATCTTGAATTGAATCATCCGTATAGTGATGTTTTCTTCTTCTGGCATCTTCCCAGTCTTTGACGCACATTAGCCCCTCCAAGATATCCGGATACATTTTGCTTCTCTTCTCGTCAAGAATTCGGTTGCTTGCACTAAATGCTTGCTCCGATGCTACCGTTGACACTAAAGTTGTCAGAATGTCGCGGGTAATTATGGACAGTGTTGGAAAACAATCGGTCTTGCTCCTCTACCACTATAAGATGTCCAGTTTGTCGTTTTCGATTACAAAATTTGATTTAAAATATTTTACCAGTTTGGTAGACGTTTGTGTTGATGACGATCCTAACGTTTTCTCTTTCTTCTTCAGGAAGCTCCACGATGAGCCTTTAGGCCTCGAACTGCTAATTGATATCGAAGTTCCATGTTCTTTTTGACCTGTTTTGTATTTCACTTCATACAAACTAAATAATTTTTCTAACATTTTCCTAGCATCAATAATAGTTAGTTGCATATCAATACTTAAATTTTCTGTCGTAGCAGTCATCAAAGATTCAGTCATATCTACTCTGCACCTAAGATTTAAAATGGTTGCTAATACATATAACATAGAACAACCGGACCAATAACTTTTAAATTTAGCTTCCATTAGCTTAGCTATAGTTTCAAAAAGTTAAGTATCCCTATAAAAAGAAAATGTTCCTGAAATATTAAATAATTAATGCAAAGCTAAATGTGCAGTAGGATAATAAACTCTAGAAAGTAATTCAATAGTATTGTAGAAAACTTTTAGAAATTTAAAAAAGTACTTATCAATCTTCCAATAAATATCGAAAATTAAAAGCTTATCATTCTTGTTGTTCACATACGTTGTGATGAGCTGTTAATACGAAAGTGCAACTTTCAACATTAAATAGGTGGAGTTCCACCTATGTCTCACTTCAGTTGGAAACTTTCTTGGGCGCATCTGGCTGTTCCTGCAATATTGTCAGAATTCTTGGAGCCGAGCTCCAAAATTAGATATGAAGGATAAATAATCTCTAATATTTGTTAGATTAAAGGAAATATGCTCAATCCATGCTTGTACTACTAAATTTATTATGTGACACGCACACCGTTGATAAAAAATTTCCCCCATTGATTAGTGCATAAAAATGCACCCTAAATACTGCTTTTGATTTATATAATATTAAAATATTTAAGCTTTAATTAAACAATTCAATTATTTTTATTCATAATATTTTTAATTAGAATTTGTCTAGATTTTGCTTAATTATTTACAGATGAAAGCAGTGTAAAAAGCTACACAAGAAGAAGCCATGAAAGCCATATTTTAAACCAATCCGAGCCACCAAGCCGAGCCATGTAGAGAGAGAGCCGCATGAGCCGAAGCCACAAGCAGATTTTCGCGTGGGCCCCGACTTTCCCGCGTTCCCCACTCCATCGTGCGCGCGTCACCTGTACGAAAGACTCCCAGGGCGCGCGTCCTTCTTTCGCGCGAGCTCCAGCGCATTCCAACCCATTTTTTGCATGGGTCCCACACGACAGCAGCAGACCTGCGGCTCTCTTCGCACGCGTCACCTGTCCAACGCGGGTCCCACACCTGCGATGCCAGTCGGACTTCCCAATGAATGCGCGCCATCTGTCCCACAACTGTCCTCCACTCTGATCGCTCCAACCATTTCGCGCGTGACACGTGGCGCTTTGTCTCCTCACTGCCAATCACCTTGCGACACGTGTCCAGATGAGGTGCTGAATATGGATTTCTTCTCCGCGAGTTGCCAGATTTCTTCCCCAAATCATATATTTAATTTCTCCTAATTTGTGTGTAATTTTATTTTGTTTCCTTTTTCTTTGTAATTTTCTATTTTTATTATTTGTTTCTTTATTTGACAGGCATCCTCTAAACACTATAAATAATAGGGTTAGCCTAAGGTTTTTAGAAGTTTTAAATATTCAGTTTTCTGTCGTATTGCTGTCAGTCTCATATTTTCTCTCCAGAACTTGTGAGAATATTTTGCAAGCTAGGCTAGAGTTCTCTTGGTGAGGTTAGAGATGAACTTTTGTTGAGTGACCCAATTCGGGCTTTTGATTCCTTGTGCTATAAAGTTCAATATCTGAATGAATTAAATCTCATCTATCTTTCTTTTACTTTTCAAAATATTGTGTGCTAAGTTTTATATAAGTCCAGTCATGCTTTTCTTATGTAATTCTGACACGCATTGTTTTGTTATTCAAATTATTTTACAAATTGTCTTTTACTGTAATATTATCAAATTGATATATAACTTGTAATGATAATATTTTCAGAGTCAACACAGACATTTAATTTATTCGATTCTTTTATTTTGTGAATCAAAACATGAATTGGTGAACGAAGCATTAGGGATTCTCGACACCTTACCCTTTTTACTACTGAATTTCTTCCACACAAATCTTCTCTCTTTTTTATTTGCAACAAAGTCTTTAAAAACTCTTCTTTTTCCTTAATTCCCTTATTATTTATTTTTCTCTAACGCTCTTATTTTGCTAATCTTTCTTGTTATTTGTTATCTCTCTGTGGATACGACCGCCCTTATGTGTTACAATTGACCGCTTGTGAACATCACTTTTGGGCGTTAATCACCCCTAA